AAAGCGACTTTTCATCCCTATCTAGGCAGACCCTTCTTGATAGCAAGTTACCGCTTTTTTTTGCTAGCAAATATCTCCTTGTCAACTATTTTGGTTTATGTAAGGCACAAACAAATTGAATAATGCAAACTTTCTTGTTCAGAAATATTGATTCAGGAGCCATTTCTACAAAGAATTTTATAATCATATAAAATAAAGACTTTTTCTTATGATTTTTTTTTACTAAAAATATACGTTTAAAAATATCTTACATATCTCTCTCATTTCTTCTTTCATTTCTTCTTTTCATTGTTCTCATTTTCTTGGCTAAAAACAATGCTATGCTGAAGCAGATGTCACTTGTTTGAATATGCTAGTTATGACAGTGTTTGTTTGTTTATATCGCATTTTAGTATACATGTATATACCTCAACAGGCAACTCGGAAGAAGAATAAAAAACAAAACAAAAGAAGGAGTCTTGTTTATACTTATATGCTTTAAGCATATTCACTTGTCTATTTGTGTACAAGTGCAATGTGTAAAGCAAAGCTGATATCAATCACAATAATGACAAAGAAACACTCCCTGTCTCCCCCTCCCCCTTTTCTTCAAACGCACGCAAAACAAAAAATACGAGTATATAAACTCCCTTATTGCCTCCCCTATATATAAATATATTCTCTTTTTCGTTTTTGAAAATCAACCAACCTATACTGCTGTGTGCAAGAAAAAAGAAGCAACACAATCAAGAATAATAAAAAAAAACCGTGATCATCTCCTTTCTTATTTGCTTTATTCTTTCCTTTTTCTTTCTTCAATTCCTTTTTTTTTATTGCTTTTTTCTTTTCTTTAAAATACTAGATTAAAAAAAGTTTTACATATTTAAATTATAATAATACAAGGTAAACTTTAACTTTATAGAGACAACATTATGATTTTAACACATTATCTAGAATGCCTAGAGCAAATCCTTTTCTTCGCCGTGCTTCTTCACCAGGAACCATTCATCAACACAACAGCGAGAACACTAAAGAGCATTTAGCAGCACCTTCTTTGCCTACACAACCAGTCAAGTTGCCACAAGCATCATTATCTGATCCTGCGCTCAAGGCACCTGTAGCTCGACCTTCCACTTTTCGCAACACACAATCTCGTTCAACAAGTATTCGTCCTTCACGTTTTATTAAAGCAACCATACCTACATCATCAGTTTCCTCACCCATTATGCCGCTAGATGATACAACAAGTAGTACTGTATCATCGTCTTCTCATATGGGTATGCTTATTCGATTGTTTGACACATTCACGCAAAAAATATACATTGAGGGATACTTAATGAAGCATCAGCATGACAATAAAAAAGCACGCACAAAGATGTTTGTCGAATTGTCTGGATCTACGTTGACATTGTGGGATACTGAACTGCCTGGATCAGCCATCATGCCCACTTACTTGCATATCACAGATACTACTACTGTATATTCTTCCCCTATTATAGACAGCTACAACAAAAAGAAACATATATTTGTAGTACAGAACAACAAAGCTGCAATCTCATTCGAAACATTTGATGAGCCAACCATGATACGATGGGTCAGTGCAATACGCTTGTGCTCCTTTGAAAAGCAAAAATTACACCAGCTATTTACACTTAGACTACTTTTGCCACATGCATCTACATCCACTGCCGAAACGAAAGCAGGTACTTTTCTTCAAGTCAGATTACCAGGTAGTACTATTTGGCAAAAACACTGGGTCGTACTAAGCGAACAACATTTACCACAACGCAATAAGCGCTTTCTCAGAAGACCTTCCTATGTCACAGCAGAAAATCAGCAGAAAATCTTACTTTATGAGACAAAGAAATCAAGAACACCCCTTTGCTCCTTTTCAGACATAAGTCATGCTTATGCTGTCTATCCTGAATCACCTCAACTGATAGAAAAAGGCTCTATGATTCATGTCTCTGGCCTCTCGAATAAGACGCAAGAGCAAGTAGAGTGTTGGTTTATGGCTGATCATAGTCAACTGACCATCCAATGGTTACTAGCCCTCTATGATACCTTCAAACTATATGGTCGGCCTGGTTTCTTGTTAGACGATGACAGCAATCCAAAGGCTTTAAATTTTGGTGAGCCTTGTCAAGATATGAGTACGACAGTATATCCAAAGCTATTCCTAGAGACAAACGATGTTATTCAAACAATGGTTGCGTCTAGCATTCCAAATCAACAAATAGAAAGCATATTTTTGAGTGCCATCAGAGATAAAACACAACAAACAGAAAAGTCTGAACGACCTGCAGGTATTAGAGCTAATAGCTTGCCGTTAATTACTGTCATTACACCACCCGATGCAGAACAACCAAAAGAGGAAGAAGCTTTGCCTGCTCCATTTAAATTTGCTCGCCAAATAGCTGATTCAAGTGATGAGAGTAGCGATGAGGGAGAAGACGAAGCTGACGACGATGAAGATCAAGATAGTGATGATGAACCTATTGGCAAGAAGTCCATTAATGATTTAGAAGTCGCAACAGAGGGTATGTCCTTGTCTCCTACAGCAAACAAATTGTTTGCTGATAATCTGATTCCCGACTTTGACTTTGGTAACGGTTTCGACGTACCCAAGAACATCATGGCAGCAGCAGTATCTGCATCACAAACACTGCCTACTCGTGGCAGCCGTCAACAAGGATCTCGTCACCGTAGCTCAATGACTTTATTCACTGATCCAGCCTCTGAAAGAGACCAAGGTAACTCTTCTCTGCTTCATAAGCGCAAAGCATCTATGCCTATTACTACTGCGTCTACTAAAGAAAGGTCCTCTTCTTTTTCGTCTGACTTTTTCTCAAGTAATGCATCCCTTTCTCCTCCTACTCATGTGCGAGGAGCTTCATCATCTTTGTTTGGTGATTTTAGTCTAACCACTAATTTTGATAAATTTCTTGACGAACCCCTTGACTACCATCGCAAGTTTTCGTTACCCTTTTCACCCATGGAGTCAAATAGCCGTTCCACATCATCCAGTAACCAATTCAATGAATGGGAGGACTTGGAAGACGAAGAGGCAATGGACAACAAATCATCACAACAACCCTATCATAATGAAGATGATCAACAGTCGCTTTATGAATTGAACGGACCTATGATTCCTTCATTAGGCGATCATTTTGCACCACAGAACAGCTTATTAGATACATATCTAGGAGATCAACTGAGTGCAAAAGAACAAATTGAGTACGCTAAAGCCACTGGACAGCCCTTGATCCAAGTATCGACTAAGAAGGAGATTAGCATGCCTCAAGGAGGCTTGGTTGGCATGATTTCTCAAAGGGAAAAAGACCGCAAAGAAGGCACGGGTTTACGTGTTGCTGAGCGAGTGAACAAACACCATGCACAGCAAGACCGGTTTGAAAGAGAAAAGGAACTTATGCTGTTAGAGCAAAGGCAGCAACAGATTATGAAGCATCAGGTAAAACCACATTAACAAAATGATAGTGCTTGAAATAACGTTTTCTTGTAGATGATGTTGTATGCAAATGGATTTGGAGTGCCTCCTATGCCCGCAATGCATCCTCACCCATTCATGATGAATCCAATGCCCATAACACCTTTAAATATGGCCATGTTACATCAACAGTCCACAAATGGTTTATGCTTAACACCACAACAATATTCACCCATGATACACAGTGCACCTTCAAGTCCGTATAGAAATGGTCCTATTCGATCCCCACCACTACACTCTCCTACTATGGGCTATTTTGGTGGCTTGCCTCAATCAGGCCCTGGATTAACTACACCTACACTTCCTCAAGGGCGCAAATTTTCTCGTCCTCTTTTGGATGGAATTGAAGAGCTGTCAACAAATAGAAAAAGCCCTGTTGCATCCACATCATCCGGTACTAGTAGCATTCGTATATAAAATCAAGAAATAAATCCAAATTGACAAGTTTATTTGATAAAGAAAAAACAAGTTGTTGTATAGTGAACCAAGACAATAAAAGATATATATATATAATATATATTATTCACTATGAGAGATGAAATTAGCCTTTTTTTTTTTTATCTGTTTACCTTTACTTACGTGAAAATGAAAAGATTGTTAGTTGCTGCAACAGCAATTGTATTTTCCCTTGGATGCCATGATGCATGAAGAATCTTTTTGTTATAATCCATATATTCATCATCACCACGCATTCGTCTACCCATGTTGCCACCACGACCATTGTTTCCACTACTCATAGTGATTTTGTTCTTTGTGCCCAACTTCTTTGCTTTGAATGCACTTTTATCTGCTTGTAGCGCAATATCTGTATCATCCTCACGACCATACAAATGGATATAATTACTATAAGAACCTGTCATAATATGGCTAATAAAGTAGAGATTAGATCCAATGACGGGCTATTTTTATGCAAATTACCTTCCATCACCACTAAATGTACATTCAAATTTGTCAAAAATGCAATCATTTTCATACAAATCACAAAGCTTGGGTCTTAGATTATCGTGAATATTGATTGTGCGTATGGGCTTATTCTCCATGTTAATATCCCAAATCTTTAATGTAAGATAATCTCTTGAGAGAATGTATCTACCATCTTGACTAAACTTGACATCTGAAATAGAAGAGATAATTTCAGAAAAGAATGATCTGTTGGAAGGATCTTCTGGCTCTTCAAAAACTACAAAAGCAATGAAAACATGTAATAATATGCCATTTGTTGTTACCTTTAGCATTCTGATCACAGAGAGCAGACTCTCTCATATCAGCCAATTTAATGGTACCCTTGCTACTGCTATACATGAATAAATTGCAGTGTTCAGGATGAAATTCAGCGGCTGTAATGACTTCAGTCAATTCCTCCATATTGGCAGGTTTAATGTCGACAATGTCTATATATATATCCATCAGTATTATGTCATAACTTTACATTTAATACTTTACTAAAACTCTGGTCAGAAATGTCAAGATTCCACAAGTTAATTCGAAGATCATCCGCAGAAATGTAGGTTTCGCTGTCCGAGTTGATGGAAATTGAATTAATGTGATATGCATGAGCTACAAGTAAGAATATTATGCTAAATATTCATTCTCCGTAACATAAAGATGATGACACAAACACATACCATTTGCATAAATACGCCTTGGGGTGGCAGCAACAACCGTGTCTTGGTGATTCATCTTGGGCATGGTCAAGGGTAATCCAAAACTACCTACTGTAGTTGGGGCATCTGTATCCATCATCATGGAAGACTCGCCGACTGTTTTAAGGCTCCGCTCATACACCTTCCAAAGCTTGATTGTCTTGTCTGTATATAGAGTCAGCCGACCACTCGTTTAGTGTGTTATAGTTACCATTGGTCGAGAGCAAGAAATGGGCTGAATTCTGTCTCTTGCACCATTTGATCTGGTTAATTTTCTCTTCAATTTCCAAACTTTTCAAGTAATCAAATTCAGGTTCATGTGATTGAAATTCGGTATGAAAGCGATATTCACAATTCTTTTTCTATAATAAACGCAAAAATATATAAACATAACAAGACCCAGCATAGATAACACATTACAGTCTCGTTACGCTCAAACAAAACAACTCGACCACCTTTATCACCAGTTGCTAAATAATTGCCTGTATGGTCAAACTCAACGGCCGAAATAATATCAGCTTTTTTTTTGGATAATGTCGTTAGAAAGTTTCCGAATTCATGAGCTAGATAGGTACCTTCAGTGATATCGTCAGACTCTCCTTTATCACCAAAACACTGAGCAAACTTCCACTTGTGTTCGTTTTCCATTGATTGCATCAAATCTAGTGATTACGCGTTAAGTATATGCAGGTCAAAAAAGACAAGTGGTGTTTTCGTGCGCGCATAAATAGGCAGCAAATAAAAGGTTACCTTTTTCTTTCTTTTTTCTTATATAGAAGCTTTACAAAGAGAGGGAAGAAGAAGGAAAAAAAATAAAAGAAAAAGAAAGTAAATACCTTGTTAATGGGTTGGTAATTATGTAGAGAAAGAGAGAGAGTTTTTTAGGCAGCTTGGGGGGTGCATAAGATGCTTCCAGGTCACTGATGGCTACCGGACATCTCGGGCATCGGTCGCTGAATTCAAAATAATGTCTTTCAAGCTTTTTGCATAAACTAACGGATATCAAATAAAAAGTATTTAGCCTAGGTCAATTAAACTATCTTAAAGAAGGCTCTTTGAATGCTACTACGGTATAGTTTCTTAGAGAAACTTCATAAAGATTTCAGCTCATTTCTCTAAATAAATAAAAAAATAAAAGGCACACGCATTGTGGTTGTAATTAGCAATTTTTCGACAAATCAAAACTCTTTTGTTTGGTTCATTATTTTACTTTGCTTTTCCATGATAATTCTTTTTCCTATTGTATCCTCTTGCTAGTAATTTTTTTCTTGCTAACATCTTGTTTGCTTAGTGCAGTTTGTTTTTGTTTTTCAATTGCGTCCATGCTTCAGAACCAGATGAAAAGTTAGAATAGTCCTGCTATTTTACCATATGTTTTCAGCTTTATGAATGAACTTGTTTCTTGCGGGTATTATTTTTGAGTAATGTAGTATACTGGATAGAATCTACAGCCAAATCAGATTTTTGATAAACATTTGAGATACGTCGAAAGGTCTTCTCTTTTATTGAACAAAGGCACTAAGTAAACTTTCACGTAATTTTTCCATAGATCAACTCTCTTCTCTTGAAATGCGCTTTCCTAGTGACTTTCTGAAAGACCCGTTGATAGCCACTTGGCCTTCAAAAATCAGTTTTTGAGAAATCTTAGCTGTTATTAGGGCTCTGTGTGCTCAATATTTCTGAAATATCTGCCTTTCTGTAGTTTCTCATTGTTAATTTAAGGGATTCAAACGATTCCTTGGCCACGAATGATTGTGCCTTTTGAGTGTTTAGATATCTTCGCCTTTGCATTTGGCTATTCAATTGCTATTTTCTCTAAAGCTCTTCTATAGAATGGTAATCTTGTGTTTCGTTATTTTCAAAAGCGTTCTTTTGCTTCATTCTTTTACGCATTGTAGTAGCTGAAATTGTGTCGCCATCGGAGGTCAAAATTATAGATTTGAAACTACATACTCATTCACTTTCTTTTTTTTTATTCTTTTTCTCTTTTACAACTTCTAAGTGTGGAATATGTCAGGATACAATATCGTTTGGACCTTCCTTGCTGTCGCTGCTCTCGGTGCTCTGGGATATTTTATGACTCCCAAAGGAAAAGACCAAACGTAACGTATACTCAGATTGGAGTCGTCAAAAGAAAACTTCGTGATTAAGTCTTAACGTCACTCTTCTTTTTTATGTAGTGTTATTCGCACAGTCATTATTATGTCTCTTGCTTGCTGTTATCTAATGTAAGTCTATCTGTTAGATGTTTGAGTATTTGATACTGAAGCTTTCTCCTCTTTTTTCTTTCTCTTTTTTCAAGGTGGGCTGTTACTTATTTAGCTCAATTACATCCTTTGATTTTCCCCAGAAAGGTTGGACTTCGACCTCCTCACCATGAATAAGAAAGAAAGACGCGCTTTTTGTATGGACAATGATGTGGAACGAAGTCTTTTATTTTTGGAAAAAGAGGTCAAAACGGAATATCGACATAATTGCATAGACATCAAACGATCTCTTTCTTTCTCTTTCTTTCTCTACATCTTTTTTTTTTATCTTTATTAAAGGAAATAGCGTTTGTAAAATACTCTTTTTCTTAAAAAAAAAAAATAGCACATAATTGTTATTTTTTCAGGGGCGGATTTATATATGCGTTTCATGTTTACCTGTCAAGAGCAGTGAACAAGAAGAAAATGCTTTCTGTGATACAGTTCATGGATGATCATGAATTTTTCTTCCTGTTATCTGCAATTATTTGTTTTTCTTCTTTTTGCATGAGTGAATTATTCACTGTCCTTCAGTTATTGCTATCAAAGGTGTAAAAGAATTCAAAGCTATCGGTAGTTTGACTATCAAGAGACTCATTCAGAGTCTAAAAAAGAGTTTGTATAATTGAATTAGAACATACTGCATCTCTCTAGCTAATTATTACATGTTGTGTATTTCATGAACTTATATTCAGCTTACCCTTAAATCACCATTTTAAGTGTAAGCTGGTCTGAAAACGATATATATTTTGCCTAATTATCACTCAAAACTCCTGTTTTTATGCATCTGGTTTGAGTCATTGATTACTTCAATATTGCCTCTTGCGTATTAATTAATTCTTTCTTCAATAAAAGAAACAAGTGTGTATGTATTTTATTCATATTACTATTTATGATAAACGGTTGTAAACACTTACTTTGAACTTAATTACTGTTGACATTTAGGAAGAGACTGAGGCAGTTTAGCAGCGTCTTTCAAAATACTGGTAAAAAAATTCAAAAGCTTCAGAGGTGGCATCATGCATCATAGCGTTTAAATAAGAACGAACAGCTTGGCGCTTTGGATTTGTCGCATGAGTTGCCTTGGGCTCTTTAATCTGAAGCAATAGATCGTTAGTAAATCAATGAAATAAGCCAATGTGTAACTTACTGAGAACCTGATGTGCTTTTCTCAAACACGCTTGATATTCCAATGACACAATAAAGTTCGAAAAACGTCTTTGATGGCTACAGCCTCGGTAGCACTACAATCAATCATAATGTGTTTGATATTCAATTGGTAGTTTGATTTCCACTATTACAACCACTGACACAAGGGAAGGGTAACTTCTCTATCAATGATAAATGAAAAGATTTCTACTTCGCAACCAACTCTGATGTTCTTGTAATTGTTTCTTCAATATCATTGTATATAGAAGAAAGACTGCTAGTAGCCATAGTGGTTGTACCTTGTCCATTTTCGATATTCTTTTGAGGAGCCAGCATGATCGCACACACACACACATACACACACACGTACACACACACAGTTTTGGAGATAGCGAGGGTGTTTTCATCAAGAAAAAGTTTCTTTGAAAGGCTATGGTCCCTCTTCTCTTTCCATTTTTAGCGTTTCAAAGATTCCTTTTGCATTCATTTTTCAAGATTCTCTTCAACCACAAAGCTTTTCATGACAAAAGACATTAGGATAGGAAGGTACAACGGCATGAACGTATTCGGCAGTAATAAATTGGCTTGACATTCTCTTATTGGAGCATGAACAGTAATAAATGCGTCAATATAGTGTTTAAATGGTAAAATATGCCGAGTAGACGAGCTTTAGATTTGCTTTATAAAATAGAAAAGAGATTATTTCAAATAAACTCAATTGAAGACTGAATTAGCTTGAGTAAGATGAAGATTATAAGATAATGTTTATTGAGGTAATTGCTTGAGGTATTTATACTAATAGAATATGAATGATGATATTTAAAGAAAAAAGAGATATGAATGAATTGACAGATGAGAGGAAAAGAAAATAACTTTCTGTCAAGATAAAAGCTTCAAGAGCCGACGCTGACATAGAATACTCAGCTTGCATTAATATTTTCGAATTAACTAGTCGGAATTATGAGTTTGTGTATTCACTTTTTTTTTTTTTACCTAATAGATGAGGTTGCTTGTACTGATGTGGGAATCCAGCATCTAGCCTTAGGCTGTTGCTGGTAACAGACCTTAGGACTGTGACCCTAGTGAAACTGTAGTTAGTGGTCTGATGGATACGCGTTTGACACTACAGAAGTAGCGCAATTACTGCAAGACACTTTTCCAAGTGTTGTCTTACCAATGTAGAGGTAAGGTCATGATTCTGTATGGTTATTTGTAGATAACTCTAATGGTTTTCTGTCTATTTTCTCCCTTAGATTCAAAAGCCAGTTGGTGTGTCTTGCTGTAATGTGGGAATCCAGCATCTAGCCTTAGGCTGTTGCTGGTAACAGACCTTAGGACTGTGACCCTAGTGAAACTGTAGTTAGTGGTCTGATGGATACGCGTTTGACACTACAGAAGTAGCGCAATTACTGCAAGACACTTTTCCAAGTGTTGTCTTACCAATGTAGAGGTAAGGTCATGATTCTGTATGGTTATTTGTAGATAACTCTAATGGTTTTCTGTCTATTTTCTCCCTTAGATTCAAAAGCCAGTTGGTGTGTCTTGCTGTAATGTGGGAATCCAGCATCTAGCCTTAGGCTGTTGCTGGTAACAGACCTTAGGACTGTGACCCTAGTGAAACTGTAGTTAGTGGTCTGATGGATACGCGTTTGACACTACAGAAGTAGCGCAATTACTGCAAGACACTTTTCCAAGTGTTGTCTTACCAATGTAGAGGTAAGGTCATGATTCTGTATGGTTATTTGTAGATAACTCTAATGGTTTTCTGTCTATTTTCTCCCTTAGATTCAAAAGCCAGTTGGTGTGTCTTGCTGTAATGTGGGAATCCAGCATCTAGCCTTAGGCTGTTGCTGGTAACAGACCTTAGGACTGTGACCCTAGTGAAACTGTAGTTAGTGGTCTGATGGATACGCGTTTGACACTACAGAAGTAGCGCAATTACTGCAAGACACTTTTCCAAGTGTTGTCTTACCAATGTAGAGGTAAGGTCATGATTCTGTATGGCTATTTGTAGACACCTTAAACGTCTGTCTGTATTTCTTTTTGAGCTCAAACTTTATCTTGTTTCATTGGCCAGCATCAATAAAACCAAAATGCTTCCTTGCTATTTATATGAGAAATTTTTACCCTGTTTTTGTAAAATGCATTCACTAGATCAATATTTAACTTGTATTTTTAAACCCTTCAAAAGGCAATAACTATGATGTTTCTAATAAAAAAAACACCGACAAGTATGACCATCTTTGGCATCAATAACTGCTTGGTACTGGTGTGTCATATTGTCTATCAAATGTGCAGCAGCTTTTACATAACCTACTATTAATAGCTAATCTTTCTCATTACCTATTACAAATAACAATACAACTACCTTATGCATTATTTACTATTTATTTATATGCCTTTTGCTCTGCTTGATTTCTAAAATTTCATCTATGCTCATTTGATATTTTTTTTCTAACAGCAAAATTTTTTTGGACACTGATTTTGCAGAGAGGCTCGGTATTGAAGCCAGACGCCGCTGCTATACTAAAGAAATACTATAGAAATAAGCAAAGCTACGGGGTATCCTATAGTTCTGATGCTTTTAGCATTGTTAATCCCTTTTTGGAATTAGTCGATCAAAGCATACTATTTGGAGTTTCAAAGGTTTTACGCAATAAGATTTTCATTTGAAATTCGTACTAACATAGAAAGTCTTTGCATCTATTAAAGATCCAGATTGCATGCTAACTGAGCTCACTTTCCACACACAGAAAGTAAGAATTACATAACGTCTAGCTATTTTCATGTGTATGCATGGATTTATCGACATGCATATGCTTAATGTGAAAAGAGACATAAAAGAAAGTGGAAGAAATCAGCAATAAGTAGTTCAAAAGAGTATGTAAAGCAAGTTGCTTTCTCGATAGATGAGCTCTTTGTATTTTCTTTTCATTTGCGTTACTCTTATCCAAGTAAAAAAGCTTTACTTTGTTTCAAAAGGTTCTTCAAATGTAAATGATCGGCAGTTCGGAATCTCTTATTCTGAAGTAGACTTCACACTCTTTTATATTATGAACAAGCTTTTCTCATTATCAAAAATGAAAAGAAAGCTATTCACTTTAACTATAGACGACTAGCACATCGTAAAAGAAAGAGAAAAGAGAATATTTTTACATCTAAGAAATAGGAAACCAATGTATTATTGTAAATAAACAACTTTGGATGTGTCAGAGAATCAGGTGCTCCATAATTTTTTTCAATCAAAAGAGAACAAAGTTTTTAGTTCGTGAACCAAGAATTTATCTTTTTCACTCTTTTACACTACTGTGGATATTAACAAAATGGACAAACAAATAGAGTTTGTAGAACGATATGTCTCTAACACACCGAAGCCGTCTTTCAACCACCTTGTTCGAAAGGAGCAAAAGACAATTGAAAAAATCTCTATCCTAATAGAAACTCCAACTGCGTTATCTTTACAGAGACTTTGGGTTACAGCATATAACAAATGTATCCAAGTCAAGAGGCCAGAACAAAAACTACAATCCAGGTAAACTTGTTTTAGTTCATAGGTTTTGCTTACTATTGTGTAGACCTACAACTGTGAGCATCGCATTTAAACGAATCTTTGAAGTCGCCAAAGCAACTGTAAGCATAACTAAGGAATTTCTATTTTTCTGTTACTAACTATCATAGAGAGATTCTATGCATGAATTCAAAGTCTCCAGTCTACAGATAACAAGCACTGTTTACTATGCCTCTCGAAATGATTTCTTGGATGATTTGATTCATGATGTTAGCAAAGAGGAAGACGAAGAAGAGAACGAAGTGCAACAAGAGGAAGCACAACAAGAAGAAAACGAAGTGCAACAAGATGAAACACAACAAAAAGGAAATGAAGTGCAACAAGAGGAAGAGGAAGAGGAAGAGGAGAGTCAAAAAGGAAATGAAATACACAAGAAATTGCTCAATAAAGTAGAGCATGATGAGTTGGAGAAGCTGGCTAAGTCTTCATGCATCAATCTACTTAACGAAAATCATCGATCTTATACGTCTCTGTCTTTATCAGAAGAATATTTCAATGATATTAAATCAGAATGCTTCAGTCGACAATCTCACTTCGACAATTACTTAACATCTATCATGTATGAAACAATCAATAACTTGTTTGATGAGCTTAAGCAATTTCAGTTCGAGTAAGTCCGGTAAGAATTATTAAAAATCATAAATTAACATATATTTATAGCTCTGATGCCGCAGATATAATTGCATATTTAGATAGCGAGAAGAATAAGGAGACAAACAAAGAAAACGAAAAGTATATCTTGCTTTCTATTGTTAGTTCAATGTAAGTCAAAATGAAACTAAAATTTCTTATCTAATCCATCAAAAAAACTTAGCATCAACAATTTCAATTTATGGAAGAAAGAGGAAAAGCTTTCCGAAAATACATATTTACGCAAATTTGCAGAAATTATTGACATCTTATTTAAGAAAACAAACCTTTTTATCAAAGATGGAGAAAACGTCTGCGAAGCATCAAAGCGAATGCAAATTATGAATGATGGCGATGTCACATATGGCAGACGATTGGACATGATTGTAGCCAGTGAGCAAGATGACAGAGATATCGAGCTTTGTTCTTTAGAATTTAAAAAAGGCGATGCACCTTATGCAACATTATTGTATCAGCAAAGCAAAAATCTCAGAATTAATGCTTGCATTCTGAATGAAATCCACCTTTTGACATTTGACGAAAGTATTTCTATTGCTTATCTGGACTTTGCAGGACGAAATGCGTATATTTCTCAGATCTTCAGAATGGATGATAAATATATTGCTCACGAAGTTGGTAAAGTGGCTTTCATCAAGAATTTGCTGGAACTAGACACACTTCGTAAAACAATGTTCAATCTGTTTAGATGGAAAAGAAGTCTGGTCAGTAATAGCAACATAGTTTCATTAGCCAACCTCAATCAATGCAACAAATTTGCTCTTGCCGATATCAGTAATGCTTTCATTCAAAGCTCAAGGTTTTCTACTACTCATAATGTCAAGCCAGCACAGATATTTATGTCTCCCAGCAACACTGGAAAAAGGACTCGAGGTGTATTTGAGCAGGATAATTAAACATTTCTCAGCTAATAAAAACATATATCGATCATTACACAATGACAACTGAGATGAAGTTCGTTACTCTTCTATTATTTGAAGTACTTTCTTATTTTAGTGATTCTGTATAGAAGCTCGGCATTGAAGCCAGACGCCGCTGCTATACTAAAGAAATACTATAGAAATAAGCAAAGCTACGGGGTATCCTATAGTTCTGATGCTTTTAGCATTGTTAATCCCTTTTTGGAATTAGTCGATCGAAGCACACACTTTGGAGTTTTAGAGGCTCTTTCCTTATTTAAATGAATAAATAGAAAGGCCTTTGTAAAAGACTTTATAGGCTTGCGATAATTTATTCATAAGCCATGTAATATTTACTTTTTATGTTTTCAAAGTAGGCTTAGTTAATGTGTTATTTAGATTTCTAATGGTGTAAAACAAAAAAAAAGGACAGATGTTATCAATTTGAAAACTTTCATGGTTTACAGGTATTAAGAAGGACTAACGATGCATAAAATATATATTTTTACAGTTTCGTATGGCTCTGCAGTTCTGTAGGTCTGTCTAGTACTATTTAGTGTATGTAGCCCCATCTATAGGTGAATCAATGTATCAAGAAGATTTTTACAAATGTTTCATGTGAAGGCTGTATTCTTTTTAAGAAGACTAATACTCTTTGTATGATTTGATGAAGCCAACGATACTTTGCAAACAAAAAAGAAGTAATTCATCTTAGCATACCTCATTAAAGGATTAATAAATAGTGTAGATAGCCTTAGATAATCGAACGAATAAATACATTCATTTCATAACTACTTTTAACATATTCTGTACGAAATGGTACCTAATCTGCCTTTATTTTACTGATAGCAGCTTACTTTAGGGCCTGACCCTTAACACATATGATTCCTTGAATTTATGCGTTAGTTGCATTATAGGCTTGCTGTACCTAGCTTGGCGTGTTGTTGCAAAAATTAACCTTCAAACTTAGATACTGTAGCACTAAAGCCACTCCCATTACTTGCACTTTCCCCTCCTTCTACGAATTCATTGAGACTTAGAGCTTTTTACATTAAAAATAGTAACCATTATATCAATGAACGGGTATATAATTTATTCAAATAAAAATCAAAGTTATTCTCACTTTTCTTTTACTTCAATCACTTGGATTGCTTATTAGGTTAGCAATATATGCGCAAATACTTGTTTTTATCTGGATGTCGACAGAGAAAGGTTGTTTAATTTATCATTTCTATTTTCTCTTTTACTTTAAATCATTTACTTAAAGGTTCGTTACCTAAGCAACGTGGTGTTGCGAAACGACCATTTCGTACTTTATTTTTCTATACGTATTTTTCTACCCAAATTTGAACTCAATATTATTCAACTCTAAATCCCAACTAAAGTATTACTCTATATTACATTAGACTTTAGCACATATTGCACATTTCACTTGTTAGTCAGCAAACGCTTGACGTATCGTACCGCTTTTACAATGACTCATAACTTTATTATACTTGGACTGTCATGATTGCACTTTTGCAAGTCCAACACGACTACTTCAGAATAGATATAAATACTAGAACAATTCAACTTAAATAAAGACATCCAAATCCATATCCATACTTTTACCTTAGACTTACAATTGTACCTTACTTGTATTGTCTTATACTTTAAATTAGATTATTATCATATCATTTGTCTAATTGGGTCTCTTGATCTTGCATTACGTCTGATCATTGTACGTTATATTATATTATATCTTTGTATCTTCTCTTACTTATACAAATGATATAGTCGAACGACTTAAAATCTGGTACTCATTGCATATAACTTGCTGTCTATTGCTCTGTTATATTTATTGTCCTATATTTCTACAAGTTACTGCGGTTTCTACATTTGTCCTGTAACAGTGGTGCTCATTACATACAAATGTTCCTTGTTTTGGACTCTATTGTATAAATTCTTCTATACGTTACTGGTATAAAAATCAAACCTTGTCCCATAGCAATATTCATTGGGCTGTTGATAGCAATTTTTAAGAAGCAAAAAAATATATTCCTATCACAGATGTGATATTACTATGATAGAAACATGATTTTGCCTTCTGCCAGAATCGAACTAGCGACCTTCTGCTTACTAGGCAGACGCTCTGCCAACTGAGCCAAGAAGGCCAAGTGTGCAGTTGTCGATTTGATATTTTACTTAGGTTTGTATTCTTATAGTCAAGTCACGAGACAATAGAACGTTTCTTAGCCAATAGATTCACTGGGAAATATTCTGGAAATAACGTGACGTCACAGAAAGGAACTGTGTATTGATACAGTAAGTATAAGATCTTTATTTATAATAAATGTAATGTTACCTGTGTATTGATACAGTAAGTATAAGATGAAGAACTTACAAGTATCAATAACACAGTATTTATATGTTTTCTAATTGTACTAAAATATATAAACTATAACATATGGAGAAGGAAGTAATTAAATACTTAAAGCTGATTGATGTTTCTGTCTTGACGAATCTAAAGTGTGCTTGGCTTTACTAATGCGAATCAAGTTGAGGCGGACTTTCTTTCTTCTTTTGTTCAGTACTTGTGGTTTAAACCTTCGTTTGTTCGGATTATAGTTTGTTGGAAGGTTATATTCAACTTCAATTGGCTGTTTCTTACTGGAATCGCTATTTTCTGTGACACAGTTCTAAACTCACCTTGTGATGGCCCTCGATTGACATTGTATGGCGAATCTCTGCCCCTCGTGGACGAGTTCATCTATCTTGGTGTACCTTTTCGAGAAAAAGGCATCCATGGACCTGGCATTATCTCTTTGAGATCTGCTAAGGCCATCAAGACCATGGCTCTGCTAACCTCTGTCGGTGTTCATCGCAATGGTTTCTCCCTTCTTTTGTCCTCTCGGCTGTATGCCTGCTTTATTCGTCCCAAGATAGAGTATGGTTTGGCTATATCCCGTCTTGCTTCGGCAGACATGACACACCTAGATGATTTGCAGAATCGCCTGGTCCGTATGTTTGTTGGTGGCTCTTGGTTTCAAGTTGCAAAACACCTCACCTGTCTTCCTGCCATGAATCATAGGTACAACATCCTTGTCACCAAATTCGCTTTGCGTGTACAATACCTCCCTGATGACTGCTTGATAGTGCTTTTGCGTGATCAACTACGGTACCCTCGCCTGGTCAAGCTTCTTCAACAGAATGTCTTGTACCGTTCACTACCGGACCCACAGCCTGTCTCTAATGCTGAACTTCGTACTCACTTTAGACGACAATGGCAGAGCCAATTTGACCGCCAGATGGTGCGACATGCGGCTCGTGGTCGTTCCGTCCTTCTCCGTGCTTGTCGTCCTTGTACGTCTAAGCCGGATCCAATTCTTTACCTGCCCATGCTTCGTACTTCTCGTAGTCGCTTGGTGCGTTGGCGTCTTGGTCGCTTTGCAAACATGCGTGAAGAATGTCCTTGTCTCTCTGGTGCTTTTGTCTCCCGTGAACACTTTTTGTCATGTCAGGCGCTTGACCCAGCATTATGGGATGCACTACCTATTGCTCCTGCTGGTGTTCATCGTCTTGATTATGCTCTAAATCAACTGCCAACTAAGGCTTCCTCTGGTCCTCCTCCTTTTTGGTCGGCGCTGCTACAATTGCTTTATGCAATTGATGTACTTGTACATCCTCTTGCAAATATCCGCCCTGATCAAGATCCTGGTGATCGTTGGCTCCCTCCTCTGGTCTCGTCATAGACGAGCTATTTTTGTCATGCCTTTCCTCTGCGCTGCCACGGTGGTAAGTGATTATCAAAGTTCCCAGCCGTTGGTCATGCCTTTGGAATCATGCAAATCTACAATACTCTTTCTGTCTCTGCTTCTTTTCTCTCTTACTTTTTTCCTGTTGTCTGCTTTCTGTCAGGTTTTTTCACTCTCTCTCCTTTTTCTCTTTTGTAAAAACTGTTCATACAATTTGGCATTATGCTCCATAGAGTAGCCCATATAATTGTTTATTAATAAAAATATAATATTTAACCTGAGCCAAGAAGGCATACCTTGACACTTTCGCTTTTTGATCACTTTTTTTGGTTTTGACCAATCAGATTCGATCATTCTGTCAAAAAATCTAACGCTGCATCCTATCCATCCGTTAGTGCATCCGTCTAAAACATCATCCATCCGTCCACAAAACCATCCATCCGTCCAAAACAACCAACCATCCGTCAAAAATGGCAACTCACCTGGACATCCAGCAGTTGCATCAACTTGTGCTGACCCTAGCACAACAGGTACAGCAGCACGAAACTCTTTTTTCAGATCTTATAGCTCTGAAAGAAAAAGTTTCCATCCTTGAACAGGAAAAATTTTTTCTGGAGTCAGAAAACAGCAAGCTCCTTTCTCGTGTCCGGACTCTCGAGTCAAATTTTTCAATGTCCGAAGGCGGCATTCAGGTCTCTTCTGTCTCTCTCCCCACTCCCACTGCCACACACCCAGGCAGTGGTGATTCATCTATCCATGCCTCCTCTTGGGCAGCCAAGGCTGCTAAGCCTGCCTCTCTCCCTGCCCGTCCTGCCCGCGTTTCGCAGAAGAAACGAGTTGCTGCTGCCCGTGCCTTTGTGAGCCCTGCTGCCAAAGGTCCTCAGGGCTTTACATATGTGTACCTTGGTCGCTCAAGAAAGATCAATAGATCTGAAGTCCGATCTCGTCTTCGTCGCTCTGGTGTGGATACTGGACGTATCCTTGACATCTCTTTTCCTGCTTCTGGTGTGCTTGGCCTCCTGATGCATGTACAGTATGTGGAGCAATTCACTGCTACCATGCAAAAGGTAGGTGCTGAATTGATCGGTGGCTTCGATCCTTTGGATCCTAAGCACCTTGCTGACCCGAAGTTCGCTGCTCTCTCTGTTGATGACCGTGCTCAACAAATGCACTCTCTTGTGCATGACCGTGCACTTGATACTCTCTCTTTTGTTCGCCCTGTCGTTGTTGGTCCTCTTGCCCGCTCTTTCATGGAGTTGGGTTGGATTGATCACGATGATCTCAAGACTGTTCTCTCTGTTGTGAGATGAAGAGAGAGTAGATATTCAATAAGAGAAAAGGTAAGAACACAGAGAAAGTCCGTTAGAACTTGTATAGGTTTTTATTTCTCCAAGAAAAATGTTATCCTTCAATTGCTATAAAATGTCAAGGTATTTATACTTTTTCTTCTCGGTCAAAATATTGTTTTGGGTTAGCTTCTTGACTACGGATTGATTTGTTAGATCAGGAGCAATTAAGAGAAATGCCTTTAGAGGAAGTTGTCAGCTCAGCCAATAGTACATGATCTGACCTGAACTTGAATAAACTATTACATATTTGTCAAATGCCAATGCCAATGTATTTGTCAGCTCTAACTGTCACTTTATAAGGGCCATTAATAATAACAGAGTCAATAGGTTCATAATCTCTGTCTATGAGGATGATGTAGTACTTCTAGTAGAATGAGTGAATGTCAGTGACTATAGATCCATTGCAATTGCCATAGATGTGATCTGGTCTTTTGCCATGATCATCATTTATTGATCTATGCATATGAATTCATATATGTTCACAACATTACCCTCCTCCAGAGTCAACTCATCTTTGATAGTTGTAAACGGCTTCTTACAATGTGAACATCTAGGCTTGATATAACGTTACTTGACATAAAAATGGTTTAGAGTCTATGCAATTTGTGTTCTTCAAAAGGAAAATAGTTTTTCTTCTCTTTCATGTCACTTAGCATTTAATTCTTTTGCTAGCTCTTCCATTTGTGGATAATTTCTCTCTACTTTGTCTAGTAGGATGGTTTCTTCTCTTTGTTCCTGTCTTGTGTAGTACATCATTCTTATTCTCTTTGTTAGATGCAGATTTATCGCTTGATTTTGATTCAATGCGTTCATGCTCTAATCTTTTTAGTTTTTCAACTTTATCCCAGTAGCGATTGATGATTGTAGGATCTTGGAAACTAGATGCAGGCTCCCAAGTGTTAGCTCTTTCACCAAAACCAGTCCATTTAACCAAGTACTTTCGTCTTCCTGGCTTGCCACGATGATCACGAATATCTTCTACTTCAAAGTATTCTTCTTCAATGGTTGATTCATCAATGGTCACAATCTTCAGTTCTGATGGTGTATAATTACGATGCAATAATTCATTTTGCTCGTCTTTTAATTCATATGAGCCACCTTTGTTTCTTCTTACAACAGTATAGGGGCCTTCATATAATGGAGACAGTTTACTCGGTCTCTTTTGCAGTCTTACCATAACGTGTGTTCCGGGTTCAATATCAACAAGTATGTTCTTTGTATTGAACCTCTTATTATATTCCTCATTTATCTTTTGAGTTCTTTCAAAGATAGCGGGAAAGACAATCTTCTCCATGTGATCAATGCGCTGCTCAAGGTCATCGCGCGTCATCATATCTTTGGGAAGTGGATATTTGTTCTTTTCTTCATAGTTTTTAGGTAAGCCGACTCTGCGTGCA